CACTCCCGAAAGAGCAGATAATAGTACTACTTTTGTAATTGTGTATAAATAGGGATTAGCTGATAAACCAGATATTTTAAATGGACATTCAAGTTCCTGCAAAATATATACTAATTATTTGATTGAATCAGTTGTTTTACAAATGTAATAACAAGGACATGCGTTTTCATACTACCTTTATCAAATCTGCTGCTAATTTGAGTACATTATTTGCTACCATAAGTTCTTCTTTTTTATGTGGCTTTTGCTCTATTTGTAAATATAAATTGATCTAAAAACAAAACAATATCAAATACTTCAAATTAAAATATAAATATGAATAACATTTCGTATACGTATTAAATACGTTATATATATCATTTTTAATTTATTTTAATTATTTTATTTTAATTACCTGTTCAGTTATTAACACAGAAAGATTTCTGTATTTTTTATTAATTTTCGTACCCAATGTCATAAAACGTAATATAAATATTCCAAGAGAAAAACTCCAAAACAATGCTTCAACGTTATATCGGGAATGTAAACTCTCAAGGTCCTATATCATAGATATTAATATTATACTTATAGAGTGTTATATATATATATGTATATTCTCACTGTAACATTTTTATACTCATCTTTTTACCTTAATTAACTCCAAGCTCACAAATGATAACAATAATAAAGTAACAATGAATACTGCTGATACTATTACATCTACAGAACGTTGCGGTCCTCTTCTCTATAATATATGATACATTGGAAATGAATTATTACTGCTTAAAAGATTGAAATATTACAAATATATTAAGAATATGCTTAGAACTACACATACATTCATATATATATATAATTTTTTTTTATTTTACCTTCAAATAAGATCTGACACTTAACCACAATTTTATATTGCGTACTTTATTTAACCGAAAATGTGGTAAATCAGATTTTCTAGCACGTCTTGACGATGTTAAATGTGAAAATAATTTTGCATATAAAAGTCTTTGTTTATAAGTACGTTCTGCAACTGCTAATAAAAAGAATAATAAAGAGGATAATATAAGTCTTTCAAATGCTGATATAAGCACTACTATACGTTCCCTGAAATAAATAATAACATTCATTAATTTTTTCCTACAGATATTTTTCCAACAATACTACATTTTATTACATAGTAAAATAGTTTTTATTTCATTAAAATATTTATTATGTAATGATTTATATTGTGTACATACCAGAGAGTTGTCCCGAAAGTCAAATCTATAACTTTAGCTAAAATATCACTATATGTTTCTAAATTGACATAAGTCAAGTCATTTGGTATTAAGGAACTCGTTACATTGCTACTGTTGTCCATCCCAACATGATCACTCAATCGTTTAATAGATGGTATTAAAGCTAATACCATACTAAGCATTAAGCCTCCATAAAAGTAATTCATATTCTCAGGCATCGATTCTACTCTAGCAATAATAGCCGAGCTGATATCCAGCACCGACAATTCAGCCTTTTTTATATCACGTCGTGTCCATATAGTACAGGAAACTAAAATATAGCAAAATTTTAATAGATTATAATAGAAAATACATCTAAAATTATAATTAAGTACTAAATTTTATCTATATTATTATAATTTAACTTATGTTACCACGATCGTATGAAGCACAATTAGAAATAAGCATTATGGAGGGTGGTAATTCAAATTCCCAAGAAAAAGGATGTTCAACAAATTCCCCATAATTTTTGTTGGTTTCATTATGGAGATCAGATTCTTCAAGTTCTGAACTGTAAAAGGATTTAAATTTAAAAAGCCAATTTAGTATAAAGATATAAATGGTAAGATGATCTCTTTTACTGAATATCAGTCTAATTAATTTAGACCTAATTAAATAACATTTCAGATTCTAAAAAATTGTTCACCTATAGCTACATTCATCACTATTTGTTGTTACTCCCATCCATTCTGTAGCAGATGTTGTAGCTTCTGTTAAATGATTTGTAACTGTTTCTTCACACTCTCCTTCTTCTTCACTTTCGCATTGCTGTCGTCCTTCCCTTGATCCTATTCCCATTAGACATTGATCTTTATCCTTTAAATAATAACTTAAAATTTTAATATGTTTATATTTAAGTAACTCACATAATTATCTAATATAATGAAATACATTACAGAAAAATTAACAATCTGAAAAATAAACTATGGAAGTTAAAAACAAGATTAGACTATTTACCATCTTGTTAGAAGTTTCTGCTTCGCTATTTGAGGAATTTTCCTGTGACTTTAATAATTCAGGTGCTGCATGGAAAGTGGAAGACAATCATTTTAGCTAATAAAGATATTAGATAAATTGCTAGAGAGATTTAATAAATAAATATATGTCTAAAATATGAAAATATATTATTTTAAACTGATACTAGCACTTTGTATCATGTATTGCATAATGTTACTATATGAAATGTTTAAATAAAATTTGTCAAAAATCAAACCTGAAAATTTTGATTGCAAAACTTGTTGACTAGTAGAATCTTCTAACCAAAGAATGCGTTCCTCGTTATTTTTAAGTAATTCCCGTTTATGTTTAAATTTCTCTGGTACTCGTGCAGCACTTTTATCATTATCACTGGACACATTTCCATTTAAGCTTTCAAATCCATCATCATCCTGATGTATATTTTTTATATTTGGATCTGGAACTTCATCTATAACAAAAAGAAGTATACTTTGCATTTAAACAAAAGCATGTAACTAACAATAAGACAGAAAGTTTTAGTACAGTATATAATGTATTAACTTGATTGAGTATGACTAGCTGAAGCCTCATTTATGGGTAAGGGATGGTTCACAGCCACATTCATTGGCTCATTATCACAAGATGCTTGAGCTGTCAGAAATTCCTATAAAAGTGAACTACTATGCATAACGTTTTTTAAAAATCTGTTTTTATATATTTCAAATAATAAATTATAATTACCTGTGACCGACTAACAGTCAAAGAATTTTCAATTACAACCTTTTTAGCAAATCGCACAGATGTTAATACTTCATCACTTACTGTGCTAGCTTTTTCAGATGCTGTATCTTGAGATGATTTAGAATCTTTATGCAAACCTACAGGATATAGTAAATATAAACTAAAATAGAAATCCACATACATGATAATTATATAAAATAATTCTACAATATATAATAAGAAACTTACGCAAGTTTTGTCTTGTCCTGGATTTACCCATTCGACATCTAGTGTGTCTTAAACGTCTAACTATCTTTTGCTTATTTTGTCCATCACCTATTGTTGGTCCTGAATGAGTTGACACAATATGGGAATGAACAACGCATAATGTCAACATCATAATAGCAGGTATTAATACCTCTGAAGTTGATATAATCTGTAAATGTATATCTTATACATATATCTATAAATACATACATATATGGATGTATGTATATTTGTAATACTAATAAACATTTCATACATCACTTTCATTGTCCTTTGCCATTTGACAAAAATATATACCCATATTGATCAGTTGTAAACTATACAGTAATAAAAATAAAGTAAAAATTGTTAAACTAGTCTGCTGTATCCACCATTTTCTATATAAGGGAAGAAGCAATAAACGCTGAAGTGCCAAGCAAGCTACAGTTGACAATCCATGCTTTGGCTTGGCTTTTGGGAAAGAAGAACCTATATGCATTAATATTATATAAATAGAATATTAATTGATTATAAATATAAATATCGTAATATTGAATAGCTTAATAGTCAAATTTTGATTATAATTTTTTAGTTTATTGTTACCTCTTACAAGATCTACATCAATAAGTTCCGTTTTTAGTTTTGCAGTTCTCATTGGAACATGTGTAAATCCTTCAAGAATATGTTGTTCCACGGTTTTTTCCCATTGTTGCTTATCATAAGTACCAATTTTCTTCTGATACCTAAACCGTGAATTGTTTTAAATGTACAAACAGCCATATAATCTTGATCGAAATGTGATGAAAACATAAATTTCTTACCAATAAACAAGCTCGTTTAATTTCATTTTTGTCGATCGCTATCGTAATCGTACAGAATGACTGTTAATTTTTAATCTTAACCAATAATCGACAATATTTGAGCGAACGGAAGATGATTTTCCGTATACTTTTGTTAGTATGTTTAAAGAAAATGTTGCTCCCATAATATATAACAAGCGTTATTTACAAATAATATTTTCAGTCAGGATATACCGACAGATGAGACATATAAAATGCGAATATTTACAATACATTCAATAATTTTACGCCATTATCTAGAAACAAAATGTTCTAGATTCCTAGCAATAACTGTGACAATTAATAAGAAGATTATTTTCAATTAATTCTAATTTATAAATGTATACTAATAAAGTCTTGTACGAAAAAATAATTACGCATGTAATATTTTTTATCCGTTCGCTGGTGAAACTGTCACACGTTTGTAATATTTCGTTTTAAACAGCGTTGCGAAATACAATGTAACTACCAATCTTATAATAATATACATAAAACAGTAACTTCTTTCGATTATCAAACTTACTGATTATGTTGTTTAAATTAATTTTGTAGATATTTTTTAAAAACTAATTCATCTGGATTTGTAATTCATATTATATCCTTAAAATTTGGATAACAAAATTAAATATCTCTATCTTTATTTTGTTATTAAACTTAAATATCCCTATTTTATTATCACTCATTCATAATAGCCTTTTTAAGCTACAATAAAAATTGAATTGTGAAAGATTTGAATATTTTACTAAATACTTAATTTAATCAATTTTACAATATACTTAGATGTATGAAAATAAAAGCTAATATGCATAAGTGTATATTAATAAAGTATGATACAGTAATGAAAACTACATAGAATGTAAAATAACTCCTTAATCTGTTTATTTATATGTATTTGGATGTTTTTATTACTAGATAAATATACATACTTAACATTTATGTATATAAATATTATGTATCCTCCCCCCTCCCCTTAATGAGTTTAGGCAACATACTTCATGCAATAAAACAAGCTAGAAATTACTTAAGAATAAGTCATGTATCATATATTATATCAGACAAAAGCCGGTTTCTAACAATTTTTAACATTTTCGTTAAGTAATGCCACGTTTAAAAAGATCATTTTATTTTAATGCATTTACATATACTGTGAGTAATAAAATTTCAATTAATAAAGAGATATAAACATTCACGGACTGATTATCAAGATGCATCTTTTTGATACATGGTTATGTTTTGGTTTTTTATCTTTGGTAAATGGGCTACGTGAATACGATAAAAAAGATTTGATTACTCTAAGGGAAGAAGTACGATCTATGTTTGATCATGCTTATTCGAGCTATTTAACATACGCTTATCCCTATGACGAACTACGATCATTGAGTTGTGATGGATTTGATACATGGGGCAGTTTTTCATTGACACTTATCGATGCTTTGGATACCCTCGCTGTAATGGGTAATTTTTCTGAATTTCGACGTGTAGCAGAAATTATAAGTGCTAGAGCAGATTTTGAGGCTAATATCAATGTATCTGTATTTGAAACTAATATAAGAGTAGTGGGGGGATTACTTAGTGCTCATCTTCTATCACGTAAAGCAGGCATTAATTTAGAGCCAGGGTGGCCTTGTAATGGTCCATTATTACGCCTTGCAGAAGATATGGCAAAACGTTTAATTGCAGCCTTTGACACTCCAACAGGAATGCCATATGGCACTGTTAATTTGAAATATGGAGTACCTGAAGGTGAAACAAGTATCACATGTACTGCTGGGATCGGAACATTTCTATTAGAATTTGGAACTTTGTCTAGATTAACTGGAGATCCATTGTATGAAGAAGTAGCTATGAATGCTATTAAAGCATTGCACTATTATAAATCAAATATTGGATTAGTGGGTAATCATATAGACGTACTAACAGGTCATTGGACAGCTCAGGATTCTGGAATTGGTGCAGGTGTTGACTCTTATTTTGAATATTTAGCAAAAGGCACTTTATTATTCCAAGATCCACTACTAGCGACAATTTTTCATGAGCACAAAGCTGCTATTGAGAAATATATTCGACGAGAGGATTGGCATTTATGGGTTTCTATGACAAAAGGTCAAGTAACTTTGCCAGTGTTTCAGTCTTTGGATGCCTATTGGCCCGGAGTACTGAGTTTATTTGGTGAAATTGGAGATGCAATGAAGTCATTGCACAATTATCATCGAGTTTGGAAACAATTTGGATTCACACCAGAATTTTATAACATACCACAAGCAGAAGCAGGTACTAACAGGGAAGGTTACCCGTTAAGACCAGAACTCATAGAATCAGTTATGTACTTATATAGAGCTACAGGAGATCCTTACCTTATACAGGTAGGAATAGATATATTAAGAAGTTTGCAGCATAGTGCTAAAACTACGTGTGGCTATGCAACTATCAATGATGTTAGGGATCACCGAAAGGCTGATAGAATGGAGTCTTTTTTCTTGGCAGAAACAACTAAATATCTTTATCTCCTTTTTGATCCTGATAATTTTATTCATAATTCTGGTCAGAAAGGAGAAATTATAGAAACACAATGGGGTCAATGTATTGTAGATGCAGGAGGATATATTTTTAATACAGAAGCACATCCCATAGATCCTGGAGCATTGTACTGTTGTCATAGAAGTCAGAATTTATTTTCAGACCAAAAAGCGACGTTATGGAAATTCATTCCTGTAAATGATATGAAAGAAAAGGAAAATATAGAGCATGCCTTGTATCCAAAAGATATAAAAGATACAAACGATGATAAACCAATTGAAATTGTAAAATTATCTGAAATGAGGCACACTTCTGTAAATAATGTAGAGAATAATAATAACAAAAATTTAATCAATCCTTTGCCACTTATAAATGGCAAAGTAGATGAAGTGATAGCAATAGAAGAAGAAAGTAAAATAAACACAAACAATCCTGAAGCTTTGTCCGGAAGTCTTTGTCAGGAAGAACCTGAATCTTTGAAAGTACAAGTTGCTGCACCTCCTTCAGGAATTTATAAAGCTGATGACAGTGAAAATATTGATACTTATGAAACCTATAGTACTTCTGATGGGCATTATCCTACTTCTGCTACGAAAAATAACACAGAATCGTTTATCAAACAAAACAGTATAAAATCGAGATTTGAACCACAAATATTGCTTGAGAACATTCGAAAAAAGAATTTATATCCAACAAATAATTCTGCAAAAATAAATTATCAGCTTTTATCTTGCCAATCTCAATCATTCCTACAACGTATATCAATTATAGGAGAATTTTTTTAATTTTATATATCAATTGTATATACAAGTGTATATGTGTATATTTTCTGTTAATCTTTTGTCTTAAATATGAATATATTTTAATTACTTTTTAACGACGAAGTTGTGACATATCATTTGCAAATACATGTCTAAGCGAAATATTAGTTGTCGTAAATTGAACTAACAATTAACAATATCAAATTTTTAGTTATTATAGATCGTAAGAAGCAGTTTGAAAAAAGAAAGAATTTTCGATTCTTATATTTTCGTATTTTTAGCAATCAATGGCATAAGTTAATTAAGTTTAGAATAAAAATTTTATTGTATATCGTAACAGTGACCTTGAACTTTCATGCATTCTGATGAGTAAAGCTAACCTACACAATGAGTAATCTACACAAAATAAATCCTTACATAACTACTCAGTAGGTAACAATATTATATATGCTCGTTAGTATACTATATTTATAAGACATAATAGCTTGGTATATGTTTAAATAAAAGAGAGAAGCAAAGTAAACAAATTGTAATAATTGAAACATATTTTACAAAGTAACACAATTGTAATAATTATTTATCTGTGATCAAAGAGGAAATTTCCTCTCTGCTATAATTTATAGCATATAAACAACTTATCAATTATACAAATATAAAATTTATGTTTTATATGTGCAGGCTCTGTATAAATATAAATTTTATGTTAAATCATAAATTAAATTAAAAGTAAATATATATTTCACGGATAAATGTTTTGAATTTAAAGATTGTAAATTCAAAGCATCGTAATTATTAAAATTTGCTATGTTAAATGGCAAAATATCATCCGGTATATCAATCGCTAAATGGGGAATCCCAATAACGTACAAGGCTGATGTACTTCTCATTTAGCAGTTGCTACTACAATTAAAATTCCCCGATATAAAAGCAGAGAGGAAGTGCTGTGCCACGCAGGCAATACTGGAAGGTGATCCATGCTAGTATATACAAAATCCTATGAAGTTAGAGATCTGCTCTGTTTAGTTGCACACTAGTATAGACAAGAACCTATTTAGTTCCACGATACAAGAACCTATTTAATTGTACGGTTCTACGAGAAAGTTCATATCTACTTTTCTATCCGAAATAGATAAGTATGAGAATAACAAACTCGCGCAAAAATTAAATTAATTGTAAGTTGCCTAAGAAAGAGAAATTAATTCTTTACTATATTTCTTTATAGAAAAAAAGAGAGTATTCCCTTTCAAACGATAATGGATGAGTGGAATGATGCAATAGAAAAGTAAATAGAAAAGTAGGTATGAACTTTTTTGTAGAACCGTACAATTAAACAGGTTCTTGTAGTGTAGAACTATGATCAACCAAACAGGGCAGATCACTAAAGTTATAGGTTCTTGTATATGCTAGTGTGGACCACCTTCAGCATTTGGCCGCATGATGGAGCACCTGTACTGTGAAATAATAAAAACTATAAGCATGAGAACGTCATTTCCTCTCTGATAAAAATTTGTAAAAGTCCCTGTGAGGATTCAGGGGAAACCCATATCCCCTCTTTCCCAATTGCATGTGCATATATAAAGCATCGAACCTACTTGAAGACACAATTAATCTACCGAAGCACAAGAGCATCTTTAAGACGTTTCACTTATATCTATAAACTACGCAATTCTAAGGTAAGTGAAGTGTATTTTTTATCTTAAACCATTTTTATAATTATTTTATATATTTCTTCTTATTCTTTTCTTCCTCTTCTTGTATGTTGCTAGAATTTTTCTTACGAATATAAAATAAATTATTTAGATTAGTAAAGTCAATATAAATTCGCATGTTTTGTCTGTAAGAATACTTATATTCTTAGTCAACTGCCAATTACTTTTTTTATTATATAGATTTAGTTGATTATGTAACGATGATTGTGATGATTTGTTGACTTTAATATTTTTGGGTAAACTAGAAAAAAGTCACAAATTTTACTTTACTTTATTTAATTCCTCCTCTGCTGAAACCCTAATATTCGGTGAAATCCGTTCCGTATATTGTGTAACCAAATGATTGTAAAATTGATTTATCATTGAGCATCTTGTCTTGGAATATAATTCAACAGTGAAAGGAATAATATCACACATCAATTTATAGTAACATAATAAAATCTATCCATGTATTCTGCATGTGCGCGTAACAAATTATATTTTTGTATTTTTCTTCTTTTTCAATAGATGGACAAAGCATCGCAGGATAATAGAACAAAACAATGTAATCCAACTCATACACCTACTGGTCCAGGACATCAAGCAGGATATCATGGATCAGGGACAAAGGCAGATTTGGATAACCATTCCAATCAGAAGAATCCTAATAATCCATTGTACAAAAATTGAATTAATTGCATTGTATAAGTAAAATGCAATTATAATAGAAAAATAATGTATTTCAGTGATGCAATAAGTACACATTAATACAATAACTTTTGGTTACATTTATTGTGATTCCTTTCAAAACAAACATCTGCACGAAAACTGCGAGTTATTCGTTTCAAAAAATTATATAAAACGTATTGTACATAAGAGTATATGTGTAATACCTAGCAACTGTAAATAGATGTAATTATTCTTTTTGTAATTCACGTTTCGCCACTTAGATAAAATAGACAAAATTAGATAAAAATTAGATAAAAATTAAATAAAAATTAGATAAAAATTACTTTCTGTATATTGTCGATAGATTGTTTTCCAATTCACGAACGAAAATTGAAATTTATGAATTGTTAAATTTAATACGAAAATTTCTGTGATTCCTGTTCTTATATTCTTAGATTTCTATTTAAAAAAAAATTTTAGATAAAAAGATTAATTTTTGTGAAATAAGAAGAATTAACCGCAAATTTTATTGTCTGCATTGTAACGTGTAAGTAGTATCTATTTTAATGTTTCGAGGTTTTCATTCTTATTTGTTAAAAAGTAACTTTCTCTGTAGCAGAAAGTATCTGAAAACCATACAGATCTGATTCGGTTACGCTCCAAATACTATTTATCACTACATAAAGGATTCATTCTACCTGAAAATATCATTGTATTTTCATCTATCGCCATGAAATCGTTGGTAGGTTGCATATCATTAATATTGGTAATATGTATTATGATTTTTATTATAAGTGAAAATGTCTGTGTATTATTTTAGAAAATTGTCAGCTTACTTTGTTTTCTCACTTTAATAATATTTGTGAATGTAAACGGTAATAGAGGAAAAACAACTATGCAGAGTGATGCTATGGAAATTGGTAAGATTAAAAATATAATCTTTTATACCATGTACTTTTCAAACAATAATTTATAAATTGATTGAAATAGGACTTATTTTTGCATATTACATTATACGTTGTAGATATAGAATTCCACTGTTCGAATTATGTTTCTATAAAATAGTTTATTCGAATCTTTCTAAGTGCCAGTTGTTTGCTCGACCAATCGCGGGGAGACGCAGTCGCGAGGAGAGACGTCAACGGGAGTCCGATTCTCGCGTTATGCTTAGACTGCCATGTTAGGCGTTAGCTTTAGAGTTAGTAGTTGACTTTTCCAACGATGTAGAAGAAGTGAAGTTGAGTGACGATGCTGTGTCGGAGGAAAGCTAGCGATGGGACCATCGGGTTTGTTCATGCCATTTTAGGTCAGGTCAGATTCGCAGGCTGAAGAGGCACTACCCGCTAGACCTAAACGCTAGATTCATTTAGTTATCCAAATTAAGCATATGCACTTGCTTATAATACTTATAAATTATACCTATCTATAATAAGTATTAACTTATTGTAAATAAACAGCCATGTCACTGCGTCACGCCAGAAAAATTACCTAACTGTAAGTGACTCGGGTTTATGACGGGTGCTTAAGGCTATTGAGGGTACGCCGTACGGAAGAGGGGGCATCTGGTGTCCGTCTGGCCCGCGGTGTGTGACCTGGGCCAGGCAGAAAGTCGCCCGGCGTAACACCAGTGGTCATATTAATTCACTTTTTGGGACTAGATTTCTTTTCTTCCAGGGGATGTACCACGTGTAAAAATAAAAGTATTTCGAGGTTCAAATAAAGAACAAAATGGAGAGCAGTTTTCTACATGGGGATTTTGGATTAAACAACCAGCTACAATGAAATGAAGGCACGTTAAATATCACTTCGTAATTATTGAGCGCATAAAAGCTTATGGTTTATTTTTCGTATGAAATACGGATGCATACATATGTATATATTTTATTGTAGAATAAAACAAAAGAATTTTTTTTTTTAGTAGAATATGTAGGTACATAAATTATGAATCGAGCCAAAACATGTGAATACTTTTTAAATCTTGGTTATTATTTCTTGATAAAATATTGTGATCGTTATAAATTTACAAATTTATACACGAACGTAATCTCTGGGAATAAAAAATGTATTACATATTTTTATGCATGCACTGTTAGTTTCCATAGTGTTGATTAAAGTTTTGCAAAGAATGTTACGGGAATTTCAATGTCACACAAAAGGAGCTTGACATTTTTGAATGTCATGGTACTTAAAAAGAATTCTGTATAAAACATGGAAATAAAAATAAATACTGCACATGAATATTATATATTGTTATTGATGAATACTGTTTATTAATAAAATTATGTTGTCAAAAAGAAGCGCTTTTATTTCAACTTAGAAACGAACATTTCGTACATTACAATCCAACATCTTTATATCATTTTGAATCGAGTTCCATAAATCGAGCTAGATTCAAATAATATTAATGCATATGTAAGATTGATAAACAATACTGTATCATAAGTACATGTATATCTATTGTCTGTTTAAGGACTGTATCAATTAAAGGTCCGTTGGAAAAAAATTCATCGATTACATTGAAACATGTGTAATTTTGTTTATTATTCTTTATAACGTATGTATTATTCTTTGAAAATATTGTACTCACAAAGGTGAATAATAATTATTCAAACCTCTTTTTAACTATAGTCTTTGAAATAGAAACTTCCTTTTGTAATCATTGTAATCTTCATGCACGACATTCTGTCTAATTTTATTTAATGTCTATTTTTTTTGGTCGACAATTATAATCAAAGCTTTGTTATACTTCTTAAAATAAAAGATCGATACTATGTATACATATACATTATATATATATACGATACCAATATCTCTTTTTTTAAATAACAAGGCAATATCATATGTAATTTATCAATCTTGCGTTGACTTTTTTTACCATTTGTCTACGTTGATGATGTAAAGAAGGGAACGATTCCTGAAGAAAGGAAAATACTAGTTGAAATAATTTGCAGATGATTTCACTTATACATTAAATTTGATCATAGCCTTAATAATTAACGCTTAACTTCTATAACTCACAATATAACGTTTA